TAAAACGCGTTTTATTACAAATCGTAGTTTGGCCCGGACATTGTTAAAATCGGCATCTCAGAATTGAACGAAAATTGGTCAACTTAATCACTGATAGGCACAAAACATTCGCTTTCTTTGTTTTTGCCCAAAATTACCGTATGACGGCATACTGTAACATCATTTTTAAAAAAAGATATGCCCTAATCGAGAAAACGAAGCGCTATTTCAGCGCAAATTGAGTTCGGGTATATGTTTTCGATCATGTAGAACATTTTTGTAATTGTCACCGAAAACTAAAAATTACATCTAAGATATGTTACACTTGAGACAACATACCATTTCGGGTATAAAAAATGCAGTTCGGACGAGGCGCAGATTTTGAAACCGGAATACTAAACTTCTAGCCTCGTCTAACAAACCATAAAAATTTCAGAAAGATCAAATATATAGTTTTTGAGATATCGGACATTCAATGTCTCATGTGCAAGATCACCTTGACCCCGAAAAAATCTGGCATTCTTAGGGTTTTGGCTAGGCGCAGATTTTGAAAGTTTCCAATACTTTTTTATGAGATTTTAGGGGGATATAGAAAGTTTCAGAGGAAAAAAATGAATAGTTTTTGAGAAATCGACCAAAATACCTTGTTTTAGGTCATCATATGCCCGAAAAAATCTGGCATTCCTAGGTTTTTGGCTAGGCGCAGATTTTGAAAGTTTCCAATACATTTTTATGACATTCTAGGAGGATATAGAAAGTTTCAAAGGAAAAAAATGAATAGTTTTTGAGAAATCGACCAAAATACCTTGTTTTAGGTCATCAGATGCCCGAAAAAATCTGGCATTCTTAGGTTTTTGGCTAGGCGCAGATTTTGAAAGTTTCCAATACATTTTTATGACATTCTAGGAGGATATAGAAAGTTTCAAAGGAAAAAAATGAATAGTTTTTGAGAAATCGACCAAAATACCTTGTTTTAGGTCATCAGATGCCCGAAAAAATCTGGCATTCTTAGGTTTTTGGCTAGGCGCAGATTTTGAAAGTTTCCAATACTTTTTTATGACATTCTAGGAGGATATAGAAAGTTTCAGAGGAAAAAAATGAATAGTTTTTGAGAAATCGACCAAAATACCTTGTTTTAGGTCATCAGATGCCCGAAAAAATCTGGCATTCTTAGGTTTTTGGCTAGGCGCAGATTTTGAAAGTTTCCAATACATTTTTATGACATTCTAGGAGGATATAGAAAGTTTCAGAGGAAAAAAATGAATAGTTTTTGAGAAATCGACCAAAATACCTTGTTTTAGGTCATCAGATGCCCGAAAAAATCTGGCATTCTTAGGTTTTTGGCTAGGCGCAGATTTTGAAAGTTTCCAATGCATTTTTATCACATTTTAGGAGGATATAGAAGGTTTCAGAGGAAAAAAATGAATAGTTTTTGAGAAATCGGCCAAAATACCTTGTTTTAGGTCATCAGATGCCCGAAAAAATCTGGCATTCTTAGGTTTTTGGCTAGGCGCAGATTTTGAAAGTTTCCAATACATTTTTATGACATTTTAGGAGGATATAGAAAGTTTCAGAGGAAAAAAATGAATAGTTTTTGAGATATAAGCTCCAAAGTGTGGCAAAACGCGTTTTAAGCGAAAAGGGTTTCATATAGGACTTTAAGTCAACTTCCGATTGAGTTTTCACCCCTAAAAACCTAAAATGGGCAGCTAAGATTTATATATCCTTGATCAGCACATTTTTTCTGATTTTTTGAGGTATGTCCCGTCAAAAAGTAGGAGCCCCCATAAAAGTACTTTCCTTGTGAGCTAAAGTAAACCCTGGTAGCTTGACAAGCTTTACAATATCGAATTTTATTAATACTACCTCTTAATTAGTAGTTCCTATATAAAAAAGGGGCATTTTGCGAACAAAAAAATTTCGCGATTTTTTTTGGTGTATGTCTCGGCCTGTAACTCCACACCCCACAGAAGTACTTACCATGTTAAAAAAATTGGATTCTTCCAAGAGAAATCGATTTAAAACCTTATTTTTGGCTCTGTAAGGTGACAAAATACCTTACAGTAACCATCGACTAATCCTTTGCAAGAAATACGTATACAAGTCGACTGCAGTCAGAAGCCAGTAGCAAAATAAGGCTTCCAATTGTAACATCCACTTGCGAACAAATCGGACAAAATTGAATGACAATGGGAATAAAGGCTTCATAAAGACGTTGTTTTTGTTTTCATGCGGACACTTATACATATAAAGCAGGTCTACCTAAAGTAGTGTTCTTCCGGCTTTAGATGAAGACCTGTGTTTTTTGAATGGCGAAGCAGCTAATAACAGAGGTATAAGTCTGTCGAGAAAATATTGAGCGCAATGTCGCATCGAAAATCGCGTCGCCGCTGAGAAAATAAATTGCGTCGCGGCAAAATTATTGGGCCGCACGTAAAACTGAGATAAGCTAAAACAATCCGGTGGATGGATTGGCAATTTGCCAAAAAAAAGACGTCAAAAAAAGCTTTGTCGCGGAAGAAATGGGGAGTTTTTTCGGCGAGAGAGTACGTTTTTGCGCGTCTTTTCTCTGTCTTCTCTGCGAAATCAAGACGAAGTGTAAAAAACTGATATCGAAGGGTCTTTTCCGGTCACCGGACTCCTCAGCTTGACGTGGGTCGTCCATAAAGTTCGTTCGTTTTTTCATTGTTTTGTTTTGCAAGGGTTGTTTGTTGTTTGGCAAAGGGTAGACATTCATTTGATACAGCCTCACAAATGGTTCACTTCAGCCCGAAAAATAATGAAAAATTAAGTTTTCAAAAACAAACTAATAAAAACACAGTTTTATAGGGGAGAAAAGGCTGTAACAAATAAATGCATTCCCTTTGCCAAACAACAAACAATTCTTGTAAAACAAAGCAATGAAAAAACGAACGAACTTTCTGGACGACCCAATAATTTTGCTGCGACGCAATTCATTTTCTCGGCGGCGACGCACGTCAAGATGAGGAATTCGGTGACCAGAATATACCCTTCGCTATCGGTTTTTTACACTTCGTCTTGATTTCGCAGAGAGACAGAGAAAAGACGCGCAAAAACGTACTCTCTCGCTCCAAAAACTCCCCATTTCTTCCGCGACAAAACGTTTTTTTCACGTCTTTTTTGGCAAATTGCCAATCCATTCACCGGATTGTTTTAGCTTATCTCAGTTTGACGTGCGACGCGATTTGTGCAGCGACATCGTGATAGGGCTCGTAAAAATACAAATGGGGGTTAAGACGAGTACTTATAAGCGCTTTTGTACTACACTGTACAAAAGCGCGATTGTGATGTATGTTGAGAGCAAATGAAGTGTGTTAAAGTACAAATGCTTCTTTGAAAAACTTTGTATTCGCCAAGAATTATCAAGAAAAGTGCAATGACTTCCCAAGAAGCCACCATTACATGCAACGATCACCAAACACCGTGGGTGACTATGAAAAGAAAAAACAACAATTTTCCCCGTGCAAAGACAATTTCAATGTGATGACAGTGTGCTGAAAAAGCTTTATACAGGTCTTGAGGACCATTAAGCTCCTTGAGAGCGAGAAAAACAAGGCGTTTGCGGAGAAGCAATGCTGCAAATCCGGTTCGGCACGATTATGAAAACAAAATTGTTGAGATCCTCACGGGCCATCACGGAAGTGGGGGTTGAGCCTAGGGTTATCGAGAAAAAATAATGACCGCTATTTTCGATATCTGACGCATCGAAAATGTAATAGTATCGCCGTGAGAAAATGAGCTTTTTCACGGAGAAAACGACATTGTTTTCAGAAGCAGCGAGGGAAAAATCAAATTGCTTTTCACATCAGAGAAGCAGCCACATTAAGATTTTGGCGAAAAAATGATTTTTTGGAAACATTTTACTGTCGACGGAACAGATAGACAAGCAATTTGTCATGCTAAAATTCGCAAAAAATGTGTTGCATCTTTTCAAACTTACTTGAAATTTCGGAAAAAATTCCTTATTCTGGCCACAACAAAGGCACTCTGCGAACTGCGCCCCAAGCTTGGGAACTAAAGTTAAGAAAGAAGGCTTCGACTTGCTGGCACTGAATTACTATAGTAGCTGTATAGTTTTAAGGGTACCTACGAAGGCTATAACAACTCAGTTAGTTCTACACGAAGGCAATAAGTGTAGTTCCGGACAGATTTCGTCGTATAAAGTGTAAAATCGCAGGCTGCCGGCGTTTTTGAAGGGTAAGGTGGTACGTAAAAAGAAGGTACCTCACTAACTAAATCCACTGTCCGAGCATTGACAACGATGAATTGAGCCTGCACGCCAAATTTGGGCCAATTCTCACCAGTTTCCGCAAAGTTATGAGTTGTGGCCAGAATAAGGAACTTTTACTGAAATTTCGTTTCTGGTTAGAAAAAACTGCGTTACACTGGAGGTACTCCCATATTAGTGTATGCACTATACGACAGTTCTTTGTGATTTGCCAGTTTCAATTGTGCTTTTATAGGGGGGTAAAAGTTTTAAAAATTGATGGGGTTGTGCCAAATTTTCATGCAAAATTTTGTTTGCCCCATGCATTTCAGAATTTGCATCGTACGAATATTTTCAAAGAGGCAAACTTGTGTGCGCGACAAACAGTCCGCGCACTTTTGAAAAACCTCAGCAACTTTCTTTGTCATCTCTATCACCGTCATTTGAGAAGCCGCAGATCCCGTCGTTCATATCTCCGCTTTTCTTGTTTCCGTCCGCTTTGATTGCCTCGCTCTTATGTCCCCACAAAGCGGACCAGTTCGCATCAAACTGCCGCCGAAAAGAGGCCGCAAACCGGAGAGGGAGGCAGAGAAACGAGAGAGAAAAAAAGACGAAGCGAAAAGGACTCGGCTGAGAGGACCCTTTCACATCAGGCTCGTCTCGCAAAAAAATATATTTTAGGTTTGTGAAGCGCTCCTACTTTCGTCGCATCCTTGCCTAGTTTGTTTTAGCCGGCTTTTGCGAGTTATTTCTTCGCTGCTCCGAGGTCGGAGAAGTGATTTTTCGCGGGAAAATGAGGTCCGTCGAGGGAAGCCAAAGTCCCGAGAGTAGCCATGAACTTGTAAGTTAATTTTCCAAGTACTTTAAGGGCTGAAAAACAAAAGATTTCCAAAGAATTTGGCAAAAATATATTTAAAGTCATAAAAATTCGATTTTACCCCAAAAAATTGCAAAATTTGCATGTTCTGCCCAATTCCAGGACTTGGATCACAAGCCGACCACTTCAAATGAGAAATTGGAGATGATCCTCCAAGATGCCCTTAGGGGAATCAGCGAAGAGGCCTTCGAAAAGGAGCGAATCAAGTTGGGAAAGCTGGACGAGAAGGTTGAATGGATGGAATGTCCGCAGATCGTCAAACTGCTGTGTTTTTTCAATACTGTCAAGCCAAAACGAGTCACCATCACCGAGGATGTAAGTCGTATTCGTTGGAGATGAGCTTGAGTACCGAAAGCGGTATTTAGCTAGTTTTTTATATTACACTTGAGATCTTGGTCGAGGACTGATTTGTTTGCTTTTTTAATGTCTAAAACAAGTGGTTTTAGTCTTGAAACGGCTAAAATCAAGCTGAACAGAGCATGAAATTGTAAACTCGCTGTAGCTAGCGGTAGAAATTGTCATCAAAAAAGGCAAAAAATCAAAATTTTGGGGAAAATTAAGAGCAAAACAAAAAATCAATAATTTTTTTGACATTTCGTAAAAATATAAATAGCTGTGGTAGTGAGATCTTGTTGTTACCACCTCAAGGTGGTAGCGAGATCTTTCTTCTAGTCCTACGTTCAATCTTGCAGGTCCCATTCTTCTTCCCCACCCATCACAAACAAGGGATGCGTTGCATGTACAAGCGCCGCGTCTTCTACGAGACCCAATCCCGAACCGCCGGCGTGAATCGTTGGCGCTGCAATCAGCGCGGTTGCCGCGGCACCATCTACATTGACAAGGCCAAGGACTGGAGTGTGATCGACTCCGGCAAACACTGGAATCGCCCATGCGACTGCGAACCCCAAGAACAGGACAAACTGGTCGCCATTGCCTTCAAGTCGATCGGTTACAAGTTGGCAAGGCTGATGCCCACCGAATCGACCAAGGCGCTGAAGGCGTGTGTGCTCGCGTTGGCGGACGAAGATCAGTTGGGGAGACTGGACAACTTTGATCGAGTAATCCGCAAGAACAAGCGCGCCGGCCTAAAGAAACAGCAGGCTTTGGGAGAAGCGTTGGCGGAGCAGATCGTGGAGGAGGAAGAGCCTCTTGAAGAGTAGTAATGAGGTTGCCAAATGTATTTTCGCGAAGTTTCTGGACGGTTCTGGAGCTCTATTTTTCGCTTTTGTTTACTAAGCTGAGTTTCGGAGATTGCAATTCATCTCCGATTATCAGCATGTTTTTGTCGGGTCCGTATTTATATTTTTAGGCAGTTGAATTCGCCAATAAACAATTTCAGACTTTGAGATAGTAATGCTTTTGTCCGGAAATTGATGGAGGGCCCAGATAACAGAGGACTGCTTGGGAAATGTGATAAAAATTATAATCGAAATTTTGTTTTTCCAAACGGAAAAACTAAGAGTCGACATTTTGTGGGAGACTGATTATGGAAGTTGAACAAACGAGTTGAAATTTGTTTATGGGAAATTGAAAATTTTATAACTGACAAGGGAAGTACTCCAAGTGCGACGCTCAGGTTTTCTTTAAATTTTGCACACACATCGGTTATGGACTAAATATCAATTAAAGGAGCCACAACTTTCAATTCCTGAAAATTTTAGCTCGCGCTTTGCGGGCGCCGCCGAGATATCGAACGACTTTTGCCGCCGAGAGAGCACGCTAAACGTGGAGAGCGGTCAGAGAGAAAAGCGCTTTTTGGCCATCACTTTGGCAGTTTCGTGCGGAAAAATTTGATTTTTTGTAGAAACATTATCCTTTACGGTAGAAGTAGGCATGAAACTTTTCGTGCCGAAATTCGGCAAAAAGTCCTAAATTTTGGCCGACTTTCGATCTAAAAATCTCGGTTGTTTCTGCAAAGCGCGAACTAGGATTCTCGCATATGTCTTAGAAAAAATTGTTCTAAATTTGTGTCAAGTTTCATCAAAATCTGAGCGTCGCACTTGGAGTACTTCGCCTGTGAGATTTTTGTACTATTTTACGATAAAAAAAGTCTCCTTAATTTCTAAAAAGTGAAAGCTTGGAGTCTTAGACGATGTTATACTACCCTAAACTTCCTCACATTGTCATTAACTTTGCTTTACTAACGGCAAGTTGATTGAGTCGTCCAGAAAGTTCGTTCGTTTTTTCATTGTTTTGTTTTACAAGGATTGTTTGTTGTTTGACAAAAAAAAGTTGATTTATCCGCTATACAATTCATTTCCTCGGCGATGCGATTTTCAATGCGACCGAGCGCTCAATATTTTCCCGACACACTGATAATGCAAAATTTTGCTTTTTACGTAGACTTTGATCCACACCCAATGAGCAGAATCCATCGGATTTTTGGCATTGAAAGACCTCGGCGAATTCAGTAAATTTTATACTTTGGCGAAGTATACGATTCGCCAAATTCACATCGCTCACTATTTTCCCCACAGACTGATATCAGATCGGGTTTTAGAGGCATTTTTTCTCCATTACCAACTGCCACTACGACTTTTTCGAACTTTCTCATCCTTGAGCCCTTGCCCTCGAAACCTTTATCCCTTTTTCCCCCCAGAGAAAATAAATTTAACGCCTGGTCATTATTTACCCGGACATCAAACCCCTTCAGCAAGAAAGCAGGTCAATTAAAACCCGAAAATGTTCGGCCGCAGTTGTTGCATGGGCCGAAATAAAACCTCGGCCCGAAAACCGAGAAAAAAAATTCGATCGAGAAACGCGAAATCCGTGTGCTTTTTAGTTTAATTTAGTTTCAAATTAACTCCTTAGGACTTAATATTCCGTTGGGATTTGGGTAGTTGTGGCCAAAGACTAGTTTTTTCGGTGTTTCACCTCATTGCCCGCGGCGTTTTTGGAGGGGAAATTTCGAAAGTCAGAGAGGGGGAATTGGATTTTTACATTCGGATGATTAGAGATTCGGAATTTGAAAGGAAAATTGGCGTAATCACAGGGAGATTGGACGACGAGATGTGACGAATGGAAGCATCATGAAATTTTGCCCATTCCAGAGCAAAAGTAAATCATTTTAAACCTTTTTTAGGGGACTTTCCCGCCTGAAAATCTTAGAGGCAAGTACCCCAAATGCGACGCTTAGATTTTGTGAAACTTGGCGCAAATTTAGAATAATTTTTTCCAAAGTAAATGCGAGAATTCTAGCTCGCGCATTGCAGAAACTACCCTGATTTTTAGATCAAAAGTCGGCGAAAAGTTGACACTTTTTGCCGAATTTCGGCACGTAAAGTTTCTTGCCTATTTCTACCATAGAGAGTAATGTTTCCATAAAAAATCAATTTTTTGCCATAACTATCAAAGTTATGGCAAAAGAGTGTTCTTCTCTCTGACCGCTCTCCGCGTTTTGCGTACTCCCTCGGCGGCAAAGATTGTTCAATATCTCGGCGGAACTTGCAAAGCGCGAGCTAAAACCTTCAGGAATTCATACTTCGTTTATGACCTACGTGTGTGTAAAATTTAAAGAAAATCTGAGAATCGCACTAGTGGTATTTCCCTTGTAAATTTTTCATTTTTGGCGCCGAGTAGATGTAACAAAATTACCGTGATTGCAATTCCATGTCTCAAATTTTCTTTCCAAACTTCAAATACTACAAATAAATTTGTGCCGACCTTGTTTTCCCAACATTTTTGACATCCTTTCCCCCCTTGCATGGTCCAAAAGCCGAACACTTGTCCTCATGGTCAACATTTCCATTTCTTTTGGGAAGCAAAAGAGAATGCCAGGGAATATTGAATTCTTCCGTCCGCCATTGTTTCCCCTTCTTTTTCGAGTTTTAAAACCGCTGCTCAGGCGCTGAACGACTAATTTTAGCGGTGTTTGGCGAGTATGAGCAGTCCCAGCAAAGCCAGAGTGTGGTGTGATGGATGGTGAGTGAAATTTGGCCGTAATGTCTGTAATACGGCTTAAAACCGGCTCAAGGGCTTTTTATGTGTTTTTATCGCTTTGGAGAGCAAATATTATAGTGTAGTATGTCATGCTTGCAGCTACGACATGGTCCACTTTGGTCATGCAAATCATTTGAGACAGGCCAAAGAAATGGGCGCCAAGCTGATTGTGGGCGTTCACACCGATCGCGACATCGAATACCACAAAGGGCCTCCTGTGTTCACGGAACAGGAGAGATATCGAATGGTCAGGGCTATTAGATGGGTTGATACGGTAAGAAATTTTATATTTATTGTACCTATAGTGAGATGCTCAGATTTTCTTAAAATTTTGCGCACGTTTCGGGCATGGGCCATGTATAGGTTCGAAAAATTTCGGCTCGAGCCTATAGGTGTCTTTTTCAACAATTATTTCACGCGAGAGAGAAGGCGAGACGCGAATAGCAGTCACAGAGAAAAAATTGGCCTTATCTTTGCCGATTTTACATCAAACTTTTCATAGCAAAATTCTCAAAAAAAAGTTGGATTTTCCCATAAACTGATAATAAAAATGTAAGGGCCTTATCACGGTGTGGTAATAATGTGGAGAAAATGGTCTTATATGAGTCTGTCGTGAAAATAATTTCAGCTCAAAAAGTCTCAGTCGTTTCTGCAAAGCGCGACCTTGGAGCTTCAAATAAGTGTTAGTTTTTTTTTAAATTTGCGCCGCGTTTCATCAAAATATGACCGACTCACTGTTAGGTGTCTCTAATATGTAGTATGCCACTGTTTTACTAGCCGATTGTAGGTAGTGGAAGGAGCGCCTTATGTCACAACAGTGGAGACTCTTAATCAACATGACTGCGACTTTTGTGTTCATGGAAGTAAGTTTCTTTTGATATTAGGACATTGTAGAAGCCTGTTGTTTAATATACGTGATATTTTTAAGACGACATAACTCTAACTGCTGATGGCGTTGATACCTACGCTGAAGTGAAGAGGGTAAATCGCTATCGGGAGTGTCGGAGGACTCCTGGCGTATCTACTACGGACCTTGTTGGCAGGATGCTGCTGTTGACGAAGACTCATCATAACAAAGACCCTGAGATCGGCGAGGAACAGTTTCAAATCATGAAAGCGCTGGCTACGGTGGGTATTGTGCCCTTGTTTTGCCTTGTATTCATTGTGTTCGCTGCCCACCGATTACTTCTCATTTATGTTTCAGGACTCCTCAGCCAAAGCGCCGTATGTGACAGTATCCCGATACAATCAGCAAACAGGATCGATTGAAACGCTAGTTGAAGGCCGACAGCGTCTACCGGACGAGAAATCAGTCTACGTTTGTGGCTCTTTTGATCTCTTTCATGCTGGCCATCTAAGCATTCTGGAAAACGCAGCCAAGCTAGGGAAATACGTGATTGTTGGCATCTTTCAAGACAATGTTGTTAATGAATACAAAGGCCAAAACTACCCAGTGATGACTTTGATCGAGCGGGTTATGACTGCAGTTGCTTATAAAGTACGTTTTTATTGACCAACCATTTTTTTTTGGCTTTATAGCAAAAATATTCAATTTCAGCCAGTTTGCCATGTTGTAATTGGCGCTCCATGCAAAGTCACCAAAGAATGTGTGGCTTCGCTGGGAATCGATATTGTCGCCAACGGAGTGAGCAGTGGGCATGCTGATGCAGAGAATGATCATGCCGAGGATCGGTTTTCTTACCCAAAGGAAGCCGGGATTTACAAACAAATCAACTCAGGGACAAGGCTAACCAATGAGAAAATTATCGAGAGGATCGTGGAGAACCGGTATGGATTTAAACGTTGGGCTTCTTCAGAAGCCACAAAAATCATGTTCTGGGGCCACTGAGTGTGTTTAGAAGGTTCAGCGGAGGCTACCATCATGGACGATTCTCATAATGAGATATTAGTCTGTCGGGAAAATAATGTGGATTTGCCGCAGCAAAATGTCTCGGCGCGTCGTCGCTGCGGATCAAACACTTTAGCCATTGCAAAGCAATAATGGTCGATTCCAAGACGCCACAAATCCACATTATTTTCCCGACAGACTGATGGTGTGTTTTCGTGATTTTGCGCTTAAATAACTACATCTTTTGTAGCTGTAAAACGCAAGCTAAAACTTGCAAAAATTAACTTGCGACTTATCAGCTATAATACTAAATACAACCAAGGTTTCTTTCTTTCGAAATATGCCTCGTATTTCATACTTCATCTTTTATTTATAAGATATAAATCCCGAAAATGTATCTTACACTGCCCAACATTACTGTTTTAATACATTTTCTTCAGTCGCCTCTATGAGGCTCGAAACCGAAGAAAGGCTCAACAGCGCTAGAAACCGCTACAATTTCCTGGCCATTTGCGTTACAACCGACATTTCATTTCTCCATTCACGGATTTCGAATTGCTCGTATATATTATTAAAACAAGTATAAATGTCAAACATTTCTTTCGCCCCCTTTCAAACAACACATCATCCCTTGCATTTTCTGTACAATAAATTTATATATATGTATAATATGTACAATTGTATATAATCGCAACAAGAAACGGTAATACGGGAAAGCGATCAGCACAACAGATGTACTCTTGTTTTATATACACGGCGGCCGGGCGGCCGCCTTCCTTAGTTAGAGCCGGTGTTACAAAAAAAAAAGATATTTACATTGGTTAGATATTTGGTAGAAGTCTTTCGCAGTTAAGACAGTGGTGCAGAACTACGGGTAGGGGCGAAACAAAAGGACCTGCGGGTTTGTGGCAATCAGCTTATGTTGAATATATATTATATTACATTTTGATCAAGCGGAGGGGCGTTGAGCAGGGGTGCTGGAGAATGGAGGGGTCAATTTTTAAGGAAAAAATTGAAACTTTCAAAAGTTCAGGCTAAAATATTAGAAAATTGCAGGAAATTTTGTAGATGTTGTCAACTAAAGGACGCCCCAGAACAGGAAATGTAAAATTAATGACATCTTCGGCCATCTGATGGCCAAAAACCCCATTCAAACTCCAGCCTCCGTGCTCAACTTGCGAAAAATCGAAGCTAATGCCGTCGGACGACCAACAAAGAAGCGAGAATTTAATTAGAGTCTGCAAATTATACACACTGTATGTTTAGTTACCAGCTATCGGTCGAGGGGGGATACAAGGTAGAGTTGTCGTGGACGAGAGTGATTTGAACGCATACGATATAACTTAGAGAAACTGGGAACCGGGAGACTGCGGCGCGTAAGAGAAGAGAGAACAGTCGCTACAAAAATCTCGAGTGCGGCGAGAAGAATTGTGGGTTTGGGTGTGTGAAGATACGATAGGTCGCAAAGGACTCACAGGGCATTCACGATGCCGTCTCGGCAAGGCCGCCGCCGTCGGCCTCACAACGCCAACAATTATGTACAGTAGGAAATCGTTGAAAGGCCGCGTGCAGTTGCAGGGCCTCGCGGAAGACGTCAACGGACCCGACGAACTTAACAAATAAACAGAAGAGTTATAGAGTGTATGTATAGTATGTACACAAAGGAAATGAAACAAAAGGTTGATCGAGAAGCAAAACTTTAGAAGAATCGTACAGATTGAGGCAAGAGAAAGAGAATTTTAGGATTGATAGACCCAAAACTCCCTCAAAAATTTGCATAAAAACCATACAAGGAAAAAGAGCGGAGTAAAAATGCAAAAAAAAGTTGACATATTCATTAAGATGGTTGTATGTACGATTTGGCGTTCAGTAATCCATGCTGTTCATGCTGACCTGCTGCGGGTTGTGGCCGTTCTGTTGGTTCACCGAGTCCGGCGAGAAGCCGGCCTGGTCCCAGACGATCTCCGGGCTCATCTGGCTGTTGGAGACGCCGCCCAGCATGGGATCACCTTGAAGAAGAGGGCCGCGGTTCTGGAAACAGCAAACATTAGTCGTATACTGGTGAATAAAATGGTCTAAGTTGAACTACACTACATCTGTGGACTATTTAGAAGCTGTGGATGGAAGGGGACGGACGGGATTGTGGCTAAATCAAAGAATACTCATTTCTCCCCAAAAACAAAGCTAACAATGGGCATCAATGGGATGTTTGGGATCTTAAAGACCCCTTGCTTCAAGCTGATTTCAAAACCAATATTGCCGATTGTCCGTCCGACCCCCTGAGGCCACCCAGAGCTTCGGAAAACCTCCCGGTCTCCTCACGTACATATTTGTATGTGGGTAACAAGATTTGCTGCACTGGTAGAAGAAGGTTGTGTAAATACGATAAGCAAGTGTGTTACATCCATTTATAAGAATAAAGAGTTGAATGGAGGCTGCACTCTTTCGCTCTCTCTTTCTCTCTTTCTCTCTTTCTCTCTCACGCTTTGCATCAGCGTTTACCACCGTGGCGAGACCGAAAAACGCGGGGTAATTAAATGATTCTCTGCGTGTTTCCACGTCAAAACTTTTTTGGAGGTTCAGGACCTATGGGTTTGGCCGAGTCAAACATGACCAATGAGACAGATTGGTCGATAAAACTGTCTCTGAACATAAAAAATCAGAAAAAACTGAGCAAACAAAATTAGATGGCATTTCAAACTTCCTATAACAATTTTATCGACCATCCGCCAATCTGTTCACAACATGTATTAATTACAGCTACACCACATGCCTTACTCGACTATCTATTACCAGGCCTAAAAAGCTCACAATAACTACAGTCCCAGTTACCCTTCGGGATGAATGTTTGCCCCGTCTCTTACCTGCATCGACAAGTCCTCCATGATCAGGTCCGGATAGCCGCTGGAATGGCTGGGCGCCGAGCCGGGCACGAGCTGATGATGTCCGGTATTCACCAACAACGTGCCCTGCTGCTCGTGCATCGAGTTGCCGTGCATTGGTGACCACGTGGAGGCGGGCGTTCCGTACTGGCTGAGGTTGGCGTGCGAGGACGCGTTCGGGGTTTGCGCCGGGCTGGAGGTGGAGTTGAAGAAGTTTCGCTGGTAGTGCTGGGATAAATGCTGGTCGGCGGGCAGGCTGCCGACCATCATGGGCCGGCTGGAGGTGTGGCTGGGGATGGGCGAGGATTGGGGCTGCATGTTGGGGTGGTAGCCGGGAGAGGTGATTTGCATGTCCTGCAGTTGGGACATAAAGCCGCCGTTCTGAAAACAAAATTTTGAAAGGATGAGGTCGTATTATACCTTAACAAACACTATCCTAAAGATTTTATTGGCTGTATATACCAAAAAACCCAAAAAATCTAAAAATCTCACCGGAGTTTGGCTCGGAGACAGCGCCGACTCATCGTACGGCTCTTGTTTAATCTGCCTTGTAGCCGATGATCGGCTCTCCTCAAACGTTGGAACTGTGCCTGGAGGCACGTTGATTCCATGCTTCTCCAAGGCCTTCTCCAACTCTCGGATCCTATTCATATACATCTTCGAGGACTCCTCCAATCTTTCCCTATCCTGCTGCGACTGATACATCATATCTTTTTCACGTCGCAGTTGACGGATGTAGTCGCAAGACGCCTTCAAAATCGTCCCCTTATTCAACTTGATCTCTTCGGCCGTGGACTTGGGCAACATGAGGCCGAGCTCCTTGATCCTGTCGTTGATGTTGTAGCGGCGTCGGCGTTCGATCATATTGTGGATGTCCTTCTTTCTGCGATCTCTGAAGAACTCGGCATCGTTCTGTGGCGCACCGCCGGCTCCACTGCCACCACTTCCTCCGCTGGTTCCTCCGCCACCGCTTCGGCGAACAAACTTCTCCATGTCGAAGCTCGAGGAAGGTGCGGACGAGGAAACAACTTGTCGGAAACTCGACGACGAGCAGATCGGCGGGCTGGACCCGTGAATGTTCTGCGCCTGCGACAAGGAGCCGCTCGAATGCATGCTGCTCGCGCTGCTCGACGAGCCGTTCGTCTGCAACGTGCCGTTCTGCTGCTGCAGACCGCGCTGTGTGTGTGCTGGGGCGTTGGTCTGATGGAGGTCGACTCCATGACCGCCGCCCAGATGATGCGGCTGGTTGGACAAGGCGGTCAGGTTGTCGGAGTACGAGACTGATACGGGCAGCTGAAACGGCGAAACGGAATTAATGAATCGGGCTGAGAGTTGATAAAAATTATCAGAACAAAAAAAAAAGAAAAGCGGACTCTGTGTCGAGGGTCGGCGAGATGTTTCGAGAAAAGAAAGGGAATTAGGAAGGCGAGTATAGGAGAGGTGGCAAAGGTAGGTAGGTGGGCTGGACGGAGGCAATAAATGCAATTCGATAAACCGCTTTGCATGCAAATACTCTCGCTGACCCGGCGGAAGATTAAAGACTGATAAAGAAGTCCAAGAATCAATGGCTACGACCACCCTAGCCCTTAGAATATTTCGATGTGCCATGGTAAAAAAAGACTTCAAAAAACCGCTAAAACTCCTCTAACGAAAACGCTGACAATCTACAAGTTCCTACCGCACCACAAAAAGTACTGTAGGGAACAGTACCTCCCACCCGCGCGGCCACAACACTCGGAACGTCGCAGCACGTCGTCCTGACAACACATTGCGCGGAACGCACTCCCTGCCCTCTGGCACTGTACTCACCGCCTCTCGCATTCCGCCGTTGTCGGGGTGACCGCACAAAAGCGAGCGAAAAAGCGGCCCAGAAAAAAAACGCGCGCTCAAAAGGAGGGATGCGAAACCGCCGACTGGTTCATCTCGGCTAATTAAAGTCGATTACGTTTTGGAAATGGCCACTGACGAGAGGAGAAATGTAGCCGTGCAGGAAATTGAGCGCGGCCTCATATTCTAATGCTAGTTTAAAAATTTCGATATTGTTAAAGCAACTACCGAGAATTGACTTGAATTACCAGTTTACGACTGTAAAACCACGTGGGAAACTGTCGAATTACAAGAAAATCTCTCGGGATTTCAGTGAGGACATTACGTTTTTTACAACCACAAGCCGCTTGAGGTTTGGGTGTAAAAAGATTGTACGAATTACAACGAAAGCTTGCAACCCGTTTCACTACAAACATTACAAACGGAGAGGGCCAAGAACGAAAGAAATCGAGAGGATACTTGAATACGAAAGTACAATCGTTTTGCCAAAAAAGGGCTCCAAAATATCCGAAAGATCTTCAAAGTACAATGCGGCTGTCGTTTTTCGCCATTTCCGATCACTTAAGCTATTTACAACATACCATCGTATGGTAATTACAGCAAATCTGAAGAGCTCCAATTTGTCGCTACTCTCAATTGCCCTACAATTTAGTTGCTTCTTTTGCAATAACCTGCACATTTGCCCCTGTAAGCTCAGTAAAAGGGCGACTGAATTGAAAGGAGTTTTATTTTTACACTCCCAAAACAATTCGCGATTATTACCCTCCAAAAAAGAGGGCAGAGTCCGTCTGCCCATTGTCTCTCCAAAGTGCAAGTAGCAGATTAAAGATTAAGATCATTCGCGGCGCCTGCAAAAACGGTTGATAACAGTTGCAAACCAAATTTATTGCGAATGACCTTTGTTTCGGCGGGGGCCCGACAGCAGGAAGTTTTCGGAGCGTTTTTTGACGAATTTAACGGCTATTCCGAAGCGAAACGGAGGCTATCACAACAAAGATTTTGATGCAAAAACTTAAGGTCTACGGTAAAAACTCCAAGACAAAATCCATTTATATTTACCTCCAAATCGCTCCCCAAATTTCTTCGCAGCCGTTTCCGGCACCCGTCAGAAACTCTTCCATTTTTACTCAGCCCTGATATTAAACATCCATCAAGAACGGGACGGTTTGAAACAGAGCACAAAAAATTTTCAGACCGCTCCGACCTTCAAAGTGCTTATCAATACGTTGTGAATGAAGAGAGGCGGAACGTGCACTTTGTGCAATCGAAAAAAAGGGCATTTCAGCGTATGCCCTTTTTGAGTTCAATTGGAAAAAAGACATGCAGTTTTTGGCCGATGACGGACTGAATTCCTAGATTTAGACGGCGAAATTACGTTAAATCTGGCCAAGAATCACTTTTGAGACCTTCAGACCACTATGACGTCATTATTTCCAAATTTTGCCATAATTAGCATTGATGACCAAAAGCTAAAAATTTTCGAAAATCGATCTCCCCTTGTCCAACCCTCCAAATTTTGAGCAAAAAACCTACCATTCCGGCGATCGCAACACCAACCCCAACTATAGCATCGGCGAGTTGAGACACAACAAAAAAATGTCTCGTAAAACAAACCCTTCCTTCTTCTTAACGTTGCCCTTCGCTTGAAGACGCAGGGACCCGATAAAACCCGGCGAAAGGGGGAATTTTTTTCAGCGCAGAAGACAAATTACCCTTCAACCGTCGCATTTATTGCCGCCACGACCGTGTTTCGCCACTGACCCCCGCACACGCACACACAGAAACCGAAGCCCGAACATTCCAGCGCGAGGAAGAGACGTTCGTCGATGAAGTATGGGCGGAAGATGATGGAAAAGTTGAGTGATGTTGGGGAGTAGTGTTCAGTACGGGAGTCGAGTGGACTTTTTGCCGGTTGATTGGATGACCAAAGGCATAAGGACAAGGTAGAGACTCATCTGGACAAGCTAGAGACTCATCTATCAACACCTCTGGAGGTCGGACTAATTAGAAAGGATGAGGCAAAGGAGTCATCTGATTCGGTGAAATCAGCCATCTTGGGGGTAGCCAAGAACTTATCGGCTCATATATTACGCTTAGAAATATGACCCCTATCAATGTTGGAGACCGCAAGGCGGAACCTCGGCTAGCTTGCCCATGTTATAAGGAAAGACCGCATGTGCAACTCTATATGTCAGATCTTCTTCAAATTTTGTACAGTCATAGAGAATAGGCCTCATATAAACTGCAAAAAATTTTAGCTCGTGCTTTGCAGGGGTATCCGGAATATTCAACAATCTTTGTGGCAAACATTGAACGTCAAACGCGAAGAGCAGTTATTGAGAAAAACACCTTTTGGCCATATTTTTGCTAGGTTTGCTCAAAAAAAAATTGATTCTTTTTGCGGAAAATTACCCATACAGTAGAAATAGGCATGAATCCTAAGCTAGATGTCTCATATGTCTCAAAAAAATCTATCCCAATGTTTGCCAAGTTTCATCAAAATTTGAACGTCTCACTTCGACGTACTCCCCTATTAGCCAAGCTATCCCCAAAGTGCAAAATATTTCTCAACCGTCCTATACTTTGAACCAATATTTATATTTTCCGTCTCGAAAATCCATCAAATTGCCGGTCATTTCAAGGACCTGCAGGCGGTTTGCACTATCCGAAATCTTTTCCATCTTCTTCAAACTCCGGTTTAAAACACAAAAATCGAACACATACATACATGTACGCCCATTCGTCGGAGCCAAAAATCAACGTTTTGAATTGATTCCGCTCGGTCCTTCTTTTTCGGAAAACCGTCTTTTGTTGACCTTATCAGTCGTGAAGCGAGGGAATTTGGAGAGAGTGCAGAGAAGCAGAGGGCCAACGGGAATTCGAAAAGATCTCTGTTCCGTTTCAGTTCCGAGTTTTTGCTGAATTCGGATGTTTTTTCAATCAGCGTGGATCAGGAATTTGGGGAATTGCAATGTCAAAGAAATTGCAATTGAAACGGTGAAAAAGACTTCAAAAAATAAAGATTAGTCTGTCGGGAAAATAATGTGGAATTGTCGCATTTTCTTGCCTCGTCGCGGTTGCGCATTAAATCCCCTGTCGCCGCTAGCCTTCGCAAAGCAAAGATGAAGGGAATCCAAGGCTTGACAAAACCACATTATTTTCCCGACAGACTGATAGATGGTTCCAAGACTAGCACGTAATTTTATGACTTTGTTTTTGATGAAACCTAGGACAAATTGAGAACGTTATTTTCCAAGACATATAAGTGACAGGTGTTGAACGTGTCTACAGACAATCAATCTTTTAATAAACAAAGCTCGAAAATTTGTAGTCGAATAACACGATTGCACTGCTCTTGGGTCGAAAGAATCGTTCAGAGTTTCACTGTGTTAACAAAGAAATCTAAAATTTTGAGCCTTTAAATACGCGTGATGCAGAGTATAAGTGCAAAATTTGAAGGAAATCCGAGTTTTTCCCCACAAGTTTTTACTATTGACAATAAAACCTGTCATGAAGAGAATAGCGAAAGCTCGTAACTAGCTATGTCTATAATTCGCCTCAAAAAAACCATGTTCCGCGGAGGTAATTAAACCTTGAGCTGAGTGAACCTTGTACTCCCAACAGATTTGGTTATAAATTTCAAAATGACCTATGCAATATTCTAACGTCTCGTTTGCCCCGATAAACATAAATTATCGAGGATTAGTTGACCGGAGTCCGAAAATCCTTTGCAAACGTAACAAAATGGGCCACGGCGAATTTGCGAGACCATTCAAGGTCAACGACTAGAGGATTAAGGAGTTGACTGTATTTTCTTAAAAGTAATTCCTTTTAATAGGGGTTTCTCTATGACATTTCGCCAGTTTGACAAGCCATTGTTTTCAATTTCAAAAGACTTCTTTGATTATTCAAACCGCTGACGTTGGAATTTCAACCCAAAAAAACTATTGCACAATACTTCCCAGTCAATATTTCGATTGTGCTTTGTGTGGAAACGTAGGTTTAGAGAATAGTATCTAGTATGTGTTAATTGGACAGTCCAAAGTACGCGGCGCCCTCCTCGAGGGAGCAAAGCATGTTATGGCTCTGCAAATGGAAATGGGATCCATTAAAGGCGAGGTTTTACAACACAGAACTATCCTATTTGAGGGAAACTTGGAGGAAATGGAAATGGAATTCGTTTTCAGGCCTTTGGTAAAAAATTTGAGCAATTGTTTTGCAAATGATTCAAATGTTGCAAAGAGGAGTGAAACATGGCCCCGGAAAATCGTCATTAAATTTAATTTGGCTTCGAATTGGCCTTGAAGATAAATCGTCGATTTTTTGCATGTTTATGAGTGAAAAATCCCAGCCTTTTTTTAGTGGAGAGGGAAACGTGTTTTTCTCTGTGACCGCCCTCCGTATTTTGCGTGCTCTCTCGACCGCAAAGATTGTTGGATATCTCGGCTGTCCTTGCAAAGTACGAGCTAAAATTTTCAAGAATTGGTACGTGGTCTATGGCCAAAATGTGCGAAAAATTTAAGCAAAGTCTGAGCCATTTTGGGCTCAGATTTTGCTTAATTCTTTTACCGTCGGCTGTCGCTACAAAGCGCCGCTAAACCTTTTAAACCCATGCGCAACACCTGAGATAAATTGAGAGAAAATATGAGTGTCTCACATCCAAGACCAGACCCTCAACAACATCCCAACACACAGCACGCCGACAAAAAGAAGTCCGACAAATCAAAACTAACTCCACTTACGGGCTGAGAGGAACCACAGCCACGTCGTTGGCCGGTGCTGCGGAAGTGTTGGTCGTCTTCCAATGAGAGAATCTCGTCGATTATAAAATCGTCCAGCTAGAAAGGAGTTCAACATTAAAGTGCGCAAATTCGTGGGCGATTTGCAAGTTTTTTAATCCCATTCCGCAAAAATTAGCGAGTGTTTTCGACCTTCAGACTTGGAGTTAATGGCAAAGAGGTGGGTCGGAATTTTTAGCTTTTATGGGCTAAAGCAAACATAATTTTAAATAAGGGCAAGTGGTTTTTAGCCGAAAATTTAAGTCGAAAAAAAGGAATCTAGAAATTATTAGCTCTCAGAAAAAAGATTAGACACCAAATTACATTAGACTATAGGCCAAAGAAACCCTAGAAAATGGGCTTTGCTTGTCAGGAAAATCTCAAAACCCTTCTAAAATTAGAGGCCGATTATAATTTCTTTTCCTAAAAATCTAAATCCAAAATCCCCCCATCTTAAACTACAGTAGTAATAAAACATAAAAAAGGTCAATTTCGTGTTATTAATTCAGCCTTTTTCTCCCCCCAAAACTTCGTTTTTTGCCATTTCCCAAATATAATATCAATAATTCCGCCACAATCAAATTCTTTACAGTGAAAGACTACACCTTCTACAAAGTAGGACCGAATTTTGCGCAAGAGATTAATGATCAAAATCCGCTTTAAGAAGCAGTAAAACGCGAAAATTAAGAGTATTTTGCAGCCGAGGGCAGACAATTTCGCGGGCATAAAGAAGCGGGCGCGTCATGACGAGAAATGAAGTAAAAAAGAGGTAATGGAAAGGTCTTGAATAGCCGTGAAGAGTGCACAATCGGACGATATGACAAAATGTGTTGTTTGAAAGAAGCGTATCAGTGCGGCAACTACTGTAGCGGGCCATAAAGATAAGTTTTTATCAGAAGTGATGAATTTCGGGGGGACAAACTACAGGGCTGTTTGTGTTTTGGCGAAAAATTGATGGAAGCTGAATGTGGAACGAATATTATGGGTGACAAATGTTTCGGAGAGCGAATACAGAGCAATCTTTGCCAAAAAATACTAAGAAATTGTAATGCCATTTGCCTAAGGCGCAATGATTTGGATTTTTTGAAACTTTGCATGCTTAATCCTCCTAGTTTGCTTAATAATTGTGGAAAAATCCAGCAGGCTATCTGCAAAAGCCGCTGAGATATTCACCGATTCCCAACGACAACGCTTTCTTTGAGCAGCCCTAAAAAACCCGCGCTTTTGCCGTTCCATCAGCACAAAGAACCCAAAATAAGCTGCCAGACAGCCCTGTAATGAAGCATCCCTCTCCTTTCCGCCTGCAAACCCCATTTCCCAACCGAAGAAAGCCTAAAATTAAGTCCAAGCCCAGCACCAATAACTCTCGATTTTTTTTATTCCCTGAGGCAATTAAAACGCCGGCCTCGTCGGGGTGCACGCAGAAAAGCTGCTGGAATATGAAACAAGGGGTTGGGGAGACAAAAATTGACGGAAACTCACTATTAAACGGTCCGAAACCCTTCTGCGGCCCCGCTTTTCGTGTCGCGTACGGGCCGCGTTTTCGGCGGGGTTTCTGGAAGGTCTCGGTTACGTCGGCGTTCTTTATCGGTAATGATAATGAAGGAGGGAAAGGAGGAGAGGGAAATTTGGGTTTGAATTTTGAAGAGTAAGCAAAAATGGATGAGTTGAGAGATAAAGTGAGTTTGTGGACGAAATAAGTGACCTTAGAGGAGATGAAAAAGACTATCAGTCTGTCGAGGGAATAATGAGCACTCGGTCGGTTCGAAAATCGCATCAGCGCCGAGAAAATGAACAGTGCCGCGATAAAATCAAATTGCTTTTCATTTCAGCGACGCTACAGTGACATTTTGCTCATTATTTTCCAGACAGACTCCTAAAAAAACATACAGGTAGTCTGCAACAAGAACTAGATACGTTTTGCGACTTTTTCCGTGATCACCCTGATTTTCAGGCAAATCGTGGCGGGACCCGAAATCAAGACCAAAAATTTTCCTATCTCTTCATAATAAAAATTAATGACGTCTGACTGCTTTGGCGACAAAAACATTACAAATTTGCTACCGTAGACCGCTTGATCATTTCATTATCTTCCCGTATTAAGTACTCTAAACACTAAACACGACCCTTCTGCAACCCCAAAATATCCCAAAAAAGTGCGTAGTCAACTCGATTACCGTCTCTGACCACAATCCAGTGGAAGAGAGCCCTGTGAATTCGCGGAATTTGCTCGAACAAAACGAGAATTACAGTCATGTTTCCACTATTCATTACAGTCACATGGTAAATTAAATGAGAGTGTAAAGCCGGGATGTCATGAGAGTTGGATACAAAAAAACAGCTGAAGATTTTCGAAATTTCTCCTCTAAATGTTGGAGAGGCTTTTTTTGGGGCTATGATGTTAGTCATGCGATCAGCGAAATGTTGCGATAATTTTGGGATACTGTAAGTTGGTGAGGGAAATAGTGGCAGAAATTTGAAAAAAATTGGCCTACAGATAAGATGGAGAGTAGAGAAGAGGTGAAATATGACTGGTGTTTTGAGTTTATGACCTAAGGCAGCGATGACTATAAGAAAAGTTAAGAATCTATCAGCCTGTCGGGAAAATAATGAGCATAATGTCGCTGCGTTTACTGTGTCGCTGAAGTGAAAAAAAAACTTTGATTTCACCACGACAAAATCCATCACCTAGGCGGCAATGCGATTTTCAAGGCAACAGATTGCTCATGATTTTCCCGACACACTGATACAGGCAACTTCTCAAGTCTCCATTCCGAAATCGCTCATTTCCGATCGGCCCCACGAAAAACTTCGCCCAATATCGGAGGGAATCGGGGCGAAAGGGCCGCTGGAAAGACGGGAATGTTTACACCACGTCGAAGTCTTTTTTTTTGTTCTTGTTCTCCCGCTCCGACCCCCATCGGGTCGACGATCAGCTGTTCCGTTTTTTGTCTCCCTTCGGGCCGAGCGGCGCTCCGCTCCGGGCATTTTCGCGTTTCGCCCCGTGGAACAATGAATGATCGGCCGAAGTTTTCTCGGCTCTGTTGGCGTTGACAAAAAACGTTTTCGAGGACGATCGTTTCGGGGAGGGAATGAGGGTCAAAGGTCAGCCATAACATATGGGCTATAATGACGAGATCTTTTGGGGATGTCAAAATAGAAAACGTCAAGGTTGAGGAGTAAAAATAGCAATTTTTTGGGCCTTGCACTTGGCCGAATTGACGAATTTCTCAAATCTTACTCTATCATCATAATCCATCACATCTTGATCAGTGTAGGTATGGCCAAATAGCTGCTGACGGGGCCCTTCTAACAAGCCGCTAGTCATTTTCTGATTCACCACCTCGCCGAAGCCGCAACCAATCTATTATGAGAGCGGAATTAAAACACCAAATAAACGCCTCTCCAAACACCCAACGTTCCAGCTGACCGTTCCGCACGCCGACGTCAAAAGACCCCAAAATCGCGTCGATCGGCTCGTTATCAATTTGTTATCCCATTCGCCGCTCTCCCATTCAACCAAAAACCAACGCTCCCTCTCTCGCCTTCAAGGCCCTCTCCGCTACACTACAAACCCGAAGAAAAGTGCTTTTTGAGTTATCGAGTACGCAAAAATAACAGCCCCAACTGCTTTCCCACCGCCCTCCATCGATTGCCGAACCGATTCGAGAGCGGGTCGGCGGGCGATTACCGCGTCTTCATGCCCAATAAAACTTGAACATTTGTCCGGACCGCGAAAATATCCGGCCCCAAAGACAAACAGGAACGGTGCGGACCACAAGAACTGTGTGTTTTCACGGCTCTTCAAAAAAAAAACTTTTCCGTGGAGGCGACGTTTCGAAGAATTCTATCGATCCCAAACACTCCCGGAAGGCACTATTGTTACACAGGCCGATCCAAAAACACCAATTTTAGGGGGCAATTTGTGGGAAGCAGAGAGAAAACAGCGGTGACTCAGCTTATGAATTTTGAATTTTGTGATTTTGCGGGTGATATTGAGAGAGGAGCGGTTGGAATTTTGGAATTTGAAAGGAAAGACCTCGTATTTTACAATAGAACTTCCAAAAAAAAATTTTTTGTTTTTGATGAGATAAAAATTGGATTTTTGATATCCTAAGGGCGCGTCTGGAAAAATTTGCTTACTTCAGAAAAAAAATAAGGCCCAGAGGCAACAGAAAATCCGAGGAATTCCGGCGAATGTCAGGGTAGTTTAACAAGGGCTAGGTCAGCAAAAAAAAGCAAAAAATTGCGTCAATTTCGTCGATTCAAAAAGGCATCGTCAACAACTTTTTCCATCGCTCTAAGAGCACCCACAGTCTTCCTAAGCAACCTTTCAGCCAAATGCATATGCATATTTTCGAGAAAATCCCCCTTCTATGCCCCTAACTACCATTAGAGATCCTTAACCGCAAAAAATCAAAATTTCCCCAGAAAAATCAGAGAAATTCTATCTCGAAACCCCATTATCAACAAGTCCCGTCAACGGCAAGTAGACAAAAATCAGATCAGAACGTGGTCGGGAGGAAAACAAGTCCGTTCCAGATTGTTTTCGACGAGCCGCGATCGACTATTTCACAATCGCTCGCCCCAAACTCCGCCCGCAAACAGACGCAGAGCGAGAAGACAGATAAGAGAAGGGCCTGACAAGGTCAACATTCTATCAGTTGATCGAATACCGGTGGCAAAAAAATCTATAAACAGAGAACGGCGATTGATAAGCGGGGAAGCGGTTTTCTTGGACGAACGAACAGAGAGAGCGAAAACTTAAAATTGGAGGCTTCAAAATCGAAATTTTATGTTCTAAAGAGTGTTGTTTTCGCGAATTCAGTATAGTTTGGTCTCCATATTGTATTGTAAAGTAGACTGGACAATAAGAGTCACTTAGAAGTATTGAACAATCTTTTCGGCAAGAGAAGAGGCAAAATGGAGAGACGGGACAGACAAAAAACATTTTTGCCTATAACTTTTCTAATAGCCAGTGAAAAGTAATGATTTTTGGCGTGGATATTTTACACCCCATGTCCAATTATACATAATATTTTTAAGCACAAAATCGAAAAAAGTTTATGTTATTACGCAACTTTTTGTCTGACTAGGGAAGTGTACAAACGAACCCTCACCAAATGGCAAGTGATATACACCATTTGAAAGCCCTTGAAAAATGGTGCAAGACACCATTTTCATTTTTTGCAGAGTGCCTTTCCGCGACGACATACTGTAAATTTCATTACAGGGTGTACCAAAAAAATGGAAACTTTTTTTCATGGGTCCTGACGCAAAAATGGTTAGGTGTTGCCAAAGAGGTTTATTACCACAAAATTCTCTGTGTTTTTCTGTCATGGTGTTTTGATTTTTACGCCCATATCGATTAATCGACCTGTTTTTTTGGACTTCAAACGAAGGGACCTTGATTTTGGACTTGTTTTTAGAGCTGTTCGAACAGTTAATTTGCTCGGTATAGAAAGAACGTTGTGTCGAAAGTAATCACGCGGCGCAAGGAGCTTGGTACGGATAGTAAGCGCCCAGGAAGTTAAAGAAAAACGCACCGCCAGCGCTTCTTTCAACCGGGAGATCCTCAACAGCAAAATCGGCGATTTTCAAGAATAACTTGCCCTTGAGACTGACATTAGCGACCGATCGGTCGGCCGAATAGCCAAAGACGAGCTCAACCTCATGTCATACAAGCTCTAAAAAATTCAGATCTTTAAAGCCGAGAGGAAGTGCGTACGGCGCAAAAATGTCGGAAAGTCAAAGGGGCGGGCCGCAGCTCCGAGACGTGAGCGCATTCAGTTCGCGGTTCAATATTTAGCGGATCCACAACCACCAGAACGATAGAATCTGCTTCAATGAGGCTCCTAGCTTGTTGGGCATCGTCGAATACCGCCAAAATCCGGGCCGTCATTGCTTAGGGCGGAATTTGTGCCAGCGGCAAGAATTCCATGTTTTTCGTGAATCAATGGGGCAAAATACAAGCGCCGCGTTAATTTCTATTTTGGCGTGCTTCCGTGAGCTCAGAAGAACCTTGGCAATGCAAACTTAGCGTTTCAACAGGACTCAGCGCCGGCTCACAAGGCAAAATCAACTCAGGACCCGAAATGGGACCGATTTTCCCGATTTTATCCCGCCTGCGAAATGGCCGCCTGCTCGTCAGGTCTGAATCCAATGGACTATATATTTTTTTAAATAGAAGGCCAGCACCTGTACTATGCTCCACAAAAGTTTGGAGTCGCAAAGTAAATGATGCGCCAAGAACGGGACCGATTTCCCCCTAAAAAGCTGCGGCCCGGACCCCAAAATTTTACGTCACGTTTGGAGCTCTATATCGCCACCAAAGGCAGCCACTGTGAAACAGGTTGAACATGTTAAATATAAACAATGCTCTATGTTACCAATCATGACCGTTACTTTTGCTGAATTTTGATTCTCCGAAAAAATATAGCTATAAAAACAAGTTTCCATTTTTTTGGTACACCCTGTATTTTTAGGTCATTTCGCAACAAAAATCTTTCTTTCTCTTGAGCGGATAAAAATCCTCGAAGAGGGTTGCTTCAATAGTGCAGTGGTTGCTGAGCAGGCTGATAAGCCAAACCAAGCTAGGTTCGGTTCCCAGCTTGGGCAAAAACGTTTTGCGTTTTTACAGTTTGGAAAATATTTGAGTTAAACTTTTACAAACGTTTTAATTTTTCTATAAAACGGTCGATTACTGTTAAAATCATCAAACTTACATGTTTTTCAAGATTAAAAAAAGTGAAAAGTGTTTTTTCACGTTATGAGTATTTAAAACCAGTAAATATCATATGTAAAATGGTTTTACTGGCAAGCGCCAAACTTCATAGTCATTCTTAGGCCAACCTAGTAGCAATATATACCAGTTAGCGTTTTGAAATCAGATTTATTTTGCCCCACAGCAGATATTGTAGCTACTTAAGGGACAAATCAACCGTTTACAATTTTTTGCCCTGAGGCATTCTGCAAAAAATGAAAATGGTACCTTTCACCATTTTTCAAGGGCTTTCCAATGGTGTATAACACTTGCCATTTGGTGAGGGTTCGTTTGTACACTTCCCTAGTGAAACCAAAAATTTGTCATCAATTTTTAATTTCCGCTCCAAAAAAATTTCTCACCGTGTAAACAACCTATTCTTAAGCACAAGCCAGAATTTCCTCCCTAACCCCACTTAAATCACCAAATTCGCCGCTTATCACCACCGTGAAACATTAATAAAGCCCTGCTCTCAAAATACGTCAACAAAAAACTGTCATCGAAATGGTCGTGATAACAAAACAAAAAGTTGTTTACAAACGATGCGAAGCGCCGAACTACAACCTTTGGGAATTTTCGCTAAGCCCCGAAATCCGTTCCCGGAGCGAAAACAATCTGTTTTTGGGTTTAATAATCGGATGGGAATTAAGCTCGTGTGTTTTCGCACACGTTACGAGTGCTCGGAGAGTTTGTTGGGAGCCGAAAGTTGGTCCGGCTTTGATCGATGATAATTGATAAAAACGGGAAAGTGGGAGATAAAAATGGAGAGGGGAGAAAAGTTAATGTTTTGACGAGCATTAGAACAAAATTTTAGAAAAAATAAAGGCATTACAATGAAATTCAGGGGCATAGCTTCTATTTTTGGCCGTTTTAGAGAGGAAAAATCAAAAAAAGAACTCTAATTTTACTATCCAAAAGATTTTTATCTATTATCTTAGTCATCACTATAAAATTTAGGCTTTTTTCCCCATTTTTCGATCAAAAAATCACCAAAAAGCACCCCATAAAACTCACTTCTCGGTTGTTGTAGCTTCCCGGGCTGTCCGGCCCAAACATGTTGCTACTGTGCTCGGTGGACGGGCTCGCCATGGTGGGGCTCTGCGCCGGCTCTTGGCCCTGATTCTGCAAATTATCAGCATTATTCAGCATGGGGCTGGCTCTCTTGGACTGCGTTGGACTGGACTTTTTCGAGTTGGTGGCCGAGGAGCGGCGGCTGGCCGAATTCTGCAGCGCAATCCCCGAATCCGTACTGCCCAAGGCGCTGTGGCGGATCCGGTAGTTGCCGAGGCCGTGCTGCTTCAGGAACGCGGAGGTCTCCGCCGGATTCGTGGTGGTTATGATAAAGGTTTTGGTGTTCTGCGCGCCCGGACTGCGGCGGATCACGATCGCGTTCGGACGCTTGATTTTGGCTTCGGATTCGCTGGCCCGCTTCACGCTGTGTCGCGCATTCGCCGTGCGCCGAATCGGGCCGCCGGCGGAGAGCTCGTCGCCGGCCGGCGGTGAGGGTGTGCTGGACTGCGGCGAGCTGGACAGCACGTAGTTGTCGCCGGGAACCGGCGCCGAAATCAGACGCCGACGCCGGTTGCGAGTGATCATGGAGTGGGGCGCGGCAATGGGCCGCCTGTTCAGATGCACCGACGGCTCCGTGGTTGAGGTGGGCACGGAGGCGTTTGGAGGGGCGAGGTGTGAAAAGAGGTAGTAGTGCTGGCTGAATTTTCAGAGTTTTCAATATTTCGCCACGTCAGAGCGTCCGACCCGAAAGAACACACGCGATTTGAGAGTATAAAAAGCAACTATAAAATAGCGTAATTTTGTGGGAAAAATCGAAGAACTCGGCGAAAATTGGCCGTCTAGGCCGGAGAAAGGTTTTCCCAATCGGCGGACAAATGACGCGCCAGACAAAGAAATTTCAATATCGTGAGACATCTGCACCCCACCAAAAACAAGATTTATTCCACTCGGCATTACAAATGAGCCCACAAGAGACGGGTTTGTTGTAAAGACAGTCATGAGTTCAAGTGTAAACTGTCGAGGCTACTTTGGACTTGAAAAAAAGAGACTTTTTGACCGCAATTCCCACAATTCTCTCTAATCTCTGATCCTCTACGCCAGACTTCGATACGGTTATTCTATAATCTCACCTCGACACATGTCCACGTTTTCAAAGCGTTTTTAAAGAGCAAAAACTATATTCTTTCAGTTTTATTTTCGAACAACGCTCCCATATCCCGGCGAAAACAAGGGCTTCGGGGCCGTTCGGCCCATAACTTAAAAATACACTTTTTCCAATTCTTCAAACACTCCCCCAGGCCGTGCCGCAAGTGCCACGGTCTTTAACCTTTGCGCTCCGTTTTGCAGCTCAAGCCAAATGGGACTTTTTTGACGGGAAAATTGATGCCAATGGTTGGGGAGATTAACAATGTAAAGAAGAAGGGGAGTTGTAGAGAGTAGAATGGAGTAAGTTTATTACAGAGAAGTTTGAGGGGGAAAAAAAGGCCAGACAGTTGAGGATTTTGCAATTTACAGGGCATTTTCAAAGGAAAATGATGATTTTTTGAAGAAAATTTGGATTTTCCAGTCGAAAATAGTAATCTAAGCCGATAAAAAAGAATTAGAATGAAGCAAAAATCAACTAATAAGCTGAATCAGCCCTTTTTTTAACCCAAACAGATACAGCGGGTTCTCTGGTTTAACATGTTGTTAGAACGGCCCATTCGTATTTTCCCGATCTTTTACCCCACTTGCTGTTCAGCTGATAACTCACTGCCACAAAACGGCGGACCACTCGACCCCACTCTATCAACAAACGTCACTAAAGTCATTACCGATAAAGGTAGTTCCATCCAAAGTACAACTCCTTTCCCCTCGCTTTGCCCCAGATGAATTATGACTAAACTCGACGTTCAGATCATATCACAGCGGACGGAAACGCTGAATTTTTGGGGGAGAGAAAGCAATTGAATCATTGATGGAAAGAAGTCGGAAGGACCTTCGAAGACGGAGCGAAACGAAGCTATACAGCTAATTTGTTGCGTGGCGCAAGAGATTGATGTTATGAGCGGCTTACGCTTATTAGAAATGATGTCTGAGATAGTTGAGAGGAGGAAGAGTAAAAAATCGGAGGAGAAAGTGGTTTATTTAGGGGTTTTAGTACGACTTTTTTTAACCGCCTTAACTTCGACTTAAGGCGGTTAAAAATGATCGTCCTCGGAAGAAGACCTTTTAAGGCGCCCTAAAATTTTGCATGGTTACTCTAAATAGCACTCATATCAGTCTGTAAAAATCTTAGCTCATACCTTACAACCGCAGCGAAAATATTCAGCGATCTTTTTTGATAGCGACTTGTAGAAGCCTAGGCCAAAATCTATCAAAATATCTATCATTCTCCCCAGTTAGCATTCCCTCGGAAGAAGACCTTTTAAGGCGCCCTAAAATTTTGCATGGTTACTCTAAATAGCGCTCATATAAGTCTGTGAAAATCTTAGCTCATACCTTGCAACCGCAGCCAAGATATTCAGGGGTCTTTCTGCTAGCGACTTGTAGTAGCCTAGGCTAAAATCTGCCAAGGTATCTAGCATTTCCTTGCCTATCTCCCATCATTCCCCTCAAAATTCACAAACCCCACCCCTCCTCTCTCCAGAAACCCCAAAATTAAAACCGCCTCAGTGTTATCAGCGCCGCAACTCGCACACCCTAAACACACATCAACACCGTCGTCTTCCAGACATCAAACAAAACCCAAACACCCAGAACCCATTCCCATCGCCCCAACAATGGCTCCTTCTCATCCGGATCGCGAAGATCGCCCCAACAAGATATGCGCAATCGTTGCAAAAACTAACATGGGAAAAAAAAGTAACGAAAATCGCTGCGCGACAGACGCCGCGCCGCTCGGAATTTATGACGGGCATAAAACGCGGTCGTATAACCTTTAATTCCCGCTGAAAAATCGGACTCACTTCAGGTGAATGGGGCTAAATAGAGAAGGAAAATGTTGAAATTTGCTGATTTTTTGCCGAATTTTGAAGAAAATCGAAAGTTTTAGCGATTTACATCGCTTTTTATCACTGCTGAAAAAATCAATTTTAAGACCAAAAGATGATAAGAAGCCAAAAATTACTCTGTAAAATCGCTATCAAAGTAAATTTTAACCGACAAAATGGCATAAAACCGAACTTTCACCCACAGAATCGCTAGAAATCCCCAATTTTCTATACGAAATCAGCTGTAAACAGCTTGGTTCGCCTTCTAAACAATGAAGATGCCCCACTTCAAGGACCGCACGGTACACCAATCTGGCGGACGATGAAAACAAACGGCCAGAGAGTGGTGGTGGTGGAAAAACGCTTTTGTGGTCCGCGTTTTTATAAACACACGGCCCCCCGACCCCATCATTGTGTCAAATAAACAAGGCGGCTGGAAGGAGCTGGAGAGCAAATTCCGCGGGGCCTTTATGGGATTTTGCGGGGTTCGAATGGCCCTTCCAAGGAATTGCAAATGAGCGGCCGCGGCGACGGCGGCGGCGGCGGCTCGACCGGCGGCCAGACAAAGAGATGTCGCGGATCGATAAACTAGGTGGTGGTGGAGTAAGAGGCAAAAAATGAAGGCTCAGTCGGTTTGTCGACCGAAATTTGAGCCGATTTGACATACAGTGGGGGACCTGATCCAGTGGCAAAAAACGTACCATTTTGTTTCCGGGAAGTATCAAAAATGTGGCAAAATGCTTCCCTTTCCAAGTGAAAAAACTTTCGTTTTGAAGGGCGCGCCCTTTTTCCTTACAAAAAGAGCGGGCGCGCTTTTGAAATCAGAGTTTTTTCACTTGGAGAGGGAGGTATTTTGCCACATTTTTTGATACTTCCCGGCTGCAAAATGATACGTTTTTTGCCACTGGGTCAGGTGCCCCCACTGTATCAGTCTGTCGAAAAAATAATGAGCACAATGTGGCTGCGCCCATCGCATAGTGAAAAGCAATTTGATTTTGCTGCGACACAATCCATTTTCTCCGCGGTGATGCGATGTTTGATGCGACAGAGTCCTCAATATTTTTCTGACAGACTGACAAAACTTGTAGATAATCTTAAAGATCATGAGCCTTTAAATGATAAATTCTCAAAGGGCGATGCTTGAAGTTTCTCCAAATTTCGAACAGACAGTCTAACTAGGACGCATATCAAAAGCTGAGATTTTTTTCCTATGCTTTGCAGCGACAGTGGTGGTATTCAACAACCTTTGTAGACAAGAGACTTGTTTTTATTAGAGGGCCGACAACTGGGCAGAAAAAAATGTTTTATGGCCACATTTTTGCAAAGTTTAGACGGACGAAATTGCTTGTTTTTTTGTGGTCTTTTTTGCTACAAAGCTCGAATTTTTTGTAGTCGATTTCAAGCTTAATATTACGATATTCGACAAACTATAGGGTTAAAAAGTCCTCTTATGTATCGTTAAAAATCACAATCCTAATCGACATCAAGCCTTGCCAAGACTGGAACACTTCCATTTCCAACAAAAAATCTTAAAATTTCAAAAATCCCAGACAAAAAATCCGACTAAAAGACCCCACTTTCACCCCGCGAAAATTTGGAATCAGAGCGTCCAATGGATCCGATAATAACAAAAATTAATGTGCACATAAAACTGGACTTAATACGCTCTCCGCAACCAGTTGAAAATCATAATAATAAAAGCCGAGGGCTCATAAAAGCGCGCTCGCCATTGACTCGCAGGCGCGTTATGCGCCGATAATCGCGCGGAAATAGCCCCAAGCCAAGAAAATAAGGGCAGGCAAGGGTTGCAATTACTGGCGGTTTGGTGGGCAAAGAGGCGTTGAGATTGTAAAAGATTGGGGATTCATGGGGAAGGAAGTGTTTTAGGTTGTTTTGGGTGGTCTGAGGGGTCAGAATTAAGGTGGCTTTATATAAGACCCTAAAAAATATTTTAAAAAAAACATCAAAAAAGCTTTCGGCTTGGACAAAAGTTGATGAAAAATGACAGAAATCTTATCAAAAATGTATTTCTGACATTTAGCTAGCGATTTTCAATGTGATTTTCAAAGCCGAAAATGAAAAATCTCCAAAAAAAAATTTTTTTTCGATTCTGGTCGGATAATTTTATACCTATTAGAAGCCTGAAGAGCAACGTTTCAACAAAAAAAATAATTTTTTTTCAAAGAGATTCCAAAGAGTAATAAAAAAACGTCTTGTTGTCTGACCGACTCCGCATTTCAGACGCTTTCTCGCAAAAAAAGATTGTCGAATATCACGCCTGCTCTGCTAAATTAAAGCCTGAAACTTTCAGAGATAATTCTGCGGCCTGTTGAGAGTGTCCGTGCGAAATTTTGGGAAAATCTGAGGACTAGGAGAGCTAAAAAAGCCATAAGAGATATGGCTTTATATCTCAGCGGCCCTGTTAAGCTGAGCGCCTAGATTTCTACAGGCAATTCTATGATGTCTGAGAAGCAATTGAGCGGAAAATCAAGAAAATCGAGCAACTAAAACACTAGTAAAATCATCTATCTTACATTAGAACTACGGCAAACTTTGAATTATCAAAAACCCAAGCCTCCAGCCCCTCAAAACCAGCCCAAAAACAAGTCAATTCGAAAAAGAGAGGGCCCTCCCATTCCCACTCCCCAACGTCTGACGTAAATCCCCCAAAAAATGTATGCCAGCCGTGTGTTTTTGAAAAGTTCCCAACGGCTTAAATTATGCGAAAAACCCCGAATAAAGATTAGCAAGTCAAATAAATAATTTTTGTTTGAAATCGACGCAATTAAACCTCAACGAGCTCCGTGCGACTCAAGTGATTGTTGGGGGGAGGAAGAAAAGAGGAGGGGGAAAAGCGAAAGTTTTGAGGTCGCAAACAAAAAAAATTGGAAAAAAAGCGGGGAAAGTATTGATTTAATATTAATGTTTGGGATGAGCTGGGAAGAGTTGGCGATGAATTTTAAGTAGTGAGGAATTTTTGAGTGAAATTTTGAATTTTTGAGGGAAAATTCTTTTTTTTTTTTTTGTAATTTTTTTTGCTCAAAATCCTCAAAATTTCGACTAAAAAATCATCAAAAAAATTTTTTCAAATTTTTAAAAAATCAAAAATTTGGGTGAAAATAATCCATACTATGGTCCCAATTCCGCCCTCTCCAAACCCATTACCCCGCCATAAACCGCATATGTAACTCGTTACAATTTCCGCAATCGCTCTTCGGCGTTTTTCTTCGCCGCAGCTGAAGAGCGCAAATTTTTCGCATTTGCGCTTAATCCCCCCGGTCGCAGACGCAACAAAGCGCGCTAGGAAAATAGCGAGCGCACGCCGCTGGGTGGATTGATTGACGAGCAAACACTTCGCTTATTGCTCGTCTATTTCAATGAGTTACCGGAGGGGAGAGAAGAAAAAATGGTGGTGATTTTTGGGAGGAAATTTTTGGAGAAGGGAGTAAAGCTTCTGTAGCTTGTAAACAGTCGATTTTTAGATGGCTAACTAGTAATTTTTATTAAAATAGAAGCTGATAAGAAACTGTTTACAGCTTAAACTTAGGGAATTTGTAAAAATTTCAGTTTAAAAAGCCCTGCAAACAAAAAGACTTCAAAAAATCCAAGAAAAATCAAAAAAAATCTCGTTTTTCCCCAAACTAAAACAACTCCTAAACATTCAAAAGTTCTTCACGCAAGCCCAACCTACTAAGAATTCAATGGGCATGTAACATCCTGAAGCATAAAATTTCCGCATATTATATAAGCCATCTTCGGCCCTAAACTGACGGATTCGTTGGGTTGGAAAGTCCAGTTTTCCCTACGCAAAACACTCAAGTTTATTTACAGACAATTGCCATGAAAAACACTTCCGGAAGACAATAACTGGTCGGCAATTACGCCTTGTCTTCAATTAGTAACCGCAAAAAAGTGGTGCAAGGAATGTGAATAATCCCTTCGTAAAGACTTTGGTATAAGTCTGCCCTCGAGGCGGCTCCCAAAAAAGAAATTTCCATGGAATTTCCGAGCGGCCTCATCAACCTATTTTCCATTAACTTTGGCCGTCGTGGCCAAATTAACGAGAGGAAAGTTGAAAAAGTCTGTTTTTGATTAACGGAAAATAAAATGACTTGCAAAAGTTTTGAAAAGCATTTAAATTCGAGATTTTTTAAAATTTTTTGGAAAAGAGAGACATTTTTAGGCCCTCTTGAATGTTTTTTAAACTGTTTTTGGTCCCACTTGAGCTACTGTTTACAATTTCTTGGCCAAAAATCCTCACAATGCCCTAGAAGCCCCACCCGACCACATCCCTAGTTTTCGGCCTAAAAATGGAAATCCTCGACACAAAAACGAGAAGTTTCCAGCCCCCACACACACATACACATTCAACTCGCTCCATTCGAACCGCAGGGCGCGAAACGTGGCCGCGGGGACAATGTGAGGACGGGAAAGGAAAAATGGACGCGAAAGAAACAGTTAGGAGATGTTTTCAATTCAAATTCAATAAGAATCTAGCGAATCGGAGAGGGGGTGATCCAATTAGGGATGTGGGGATGGATAAACGTGGTAGTACGGAAATTGCAGCAAGAAATAGAGGGATTGAAAGAACTAGG